ACCACCACACCACCACCACTACCACCACCACTACCACCACCACTACCACCACCACTACCACCACCACCACCACACTACCACCACACCACCACTACACCACACCACCACCACCACACCACCACCACCACCACCACCACCACCCACCACACCACCACCAACCACCACCACCACCACCACCACCACCACCACACCACCACCACACCACCACACACCACCACCACCACACCACCACCACCACCACCACCACCACCCACCACACCACCACCACCACACCACCACCACCACCACCACACCACCACCACCACCACCACCACCACCACACCGGAACTCAGCCTCTTTAAATCCCATTATAACAACAAAGTAATTTCCGAAATCGATGCATAATTGAGTGAGTAGACAAGCCTTTTTGTTAATAGTTTTCAGAAAATCTAATTGACTTCATACAAAGGCCGCTTTAAAACACAGACGCTAATTAAGAGCTTCCACATTGTTGTAAAATTATTTAGGAAAATTTGGAAAGGTAGGGTGAGACAAAGAGACAAAGACGGAGCGTGGTGAAGAGAAGAGAATGAAGGAGGTAGAGAGGAGGAGGAGGAGGAGGAATGGGGGGAAGGAGAGACTAAGAGAAGAAGAGGAGGAGGAGGAGTAATGGAGGAAGGAGACACTAAGAGAGGAGGAGGAGGAGGAGGAGGAGGAGGAGGAGGAGGAGGAGGAGGAGGAGGAGGAGGAGGAGGAGGAGGAGGGAGAGGAGGAGGAGGAGGAGGGATAAAAAGAGTGGTAAGAAGAGGAGGAGGAGGAGAAGAAGAGAAGAAGAAGAAGAAGGAAGAAGGAAAAGGAAAAGGAAAAAGGAAAAGAAAAGGAAAGAAGGAAAAGGAAAGAAGGAAAAGGAAAAGAAAAAAGGAAAGAAGGAAAGGAAAAGAAGGAAAAGGAAAAGAAGGAAAAGGAAAAGAAGGAAAAGGAAAGGAAAAAGGAAAAGAAAGGAAAAGGAAAAGGAAAAGGAAAAAAGGAAAAAGAAAAGGAAAAGGAAAAAGGAAAGGAAAAGGAAGGAAAAGAAAGGAAAAGGAAAAGGAAAAGAAAGGAAAAGGAAAAGGAAAAAGGAAAAGGAAAAGGAAAAGAAGGAAAAGGAAAAAGGAAAAGAAAAAAGGAAAGGAAAAGAAGGAAAAGGAAAAGGAAAGAAGGAAAGGAAAAGGGAAAAAGGGAAAAGGAAAAGGAAAAGGGATAAAAGAGTGGTAAGGAAGGATTCCGTGAGAGAAGGGAGGGAGAGCGATAAATTGATAGAAGATCAAAGTAAAAATAAAGTGGAAGGCAAAAGAATGAAAGTGAAAGGGAAAGAGAGAACGACATAAGAAGAGAAAAAAGGGGAAGGAGAGAGATTTAGTGTGTAAGGAAAAGGGTGGAAAGGGAAAAAATAGGCAAGGAAGAGAGGAAACAAGAAGGAAAGGGAAGGTAGACGAAAGGAAGAAGCAAAAGAAGGGGAGAGAAGAGACGTAAACGGAGAGAGAAGCGAAGGAAGAAGATAGAGAAGGGAAGTTGAAAGTGCGAAGAGGAAGGGAAGATGGAGAGAGAAAGGAAGAAGGAAGAAGACAGAGAAGGGAATGTGAAAATACAAAGAGGAAGGGAAGATGGAGAAGGAGGAGGGAGAAAGGAGAAGGAAGAGATAGAGAGAAGGTGAAAATGAGGAAGGGAAGATGGAGAAATAGCGGAGGAGAAGATAGAGAGGGGGTGAAAATGCGAAGAGCAAAGGAAGATGGAGAAAGAAAGGAAGGAAGATATAGAGAAGGGAAGGTGAATGAAAAATGGGAAGAGGAAGTGAAGATGGAGAAGGGAAAAGGAAGGAGAAGAAGATAGAGAAAGGAAGGAGGAAGAAGATAGAGAAGGAAAGGTGAAAATGCGAAGAGGAAGGGAAGATGGACAAAGGAGGAAGGAAGAAGATAGAGAAGGAAAGGTGAAAATGCGAAGACGAAGGGAAGATGCAGAAAGGAAGAAGATAGAGAAGGAAAGGTGAAAATGCGAAGAGGCAGGGAAGATGGAGAAAGAAAGGAAGAAGATAGAGAAGGAAAGGTGAAAATGCGAAGAGGCAGGGAAGATGGAGAAAGGAAGAAGGAAGAAGATAGAGAAGGAAAGGTGAAAATGCGAAGAGCAGAGGAAGATGGAGAAAAGGAAGGAAGAAGATAGAGAAGGAAAGGAAAATGCGAAGAGGAAGGGAAGATGGAAAAGGAAGAAGGAAGAAGATGAGAAAGAAGGAGGAAGAAGATGGAGAAAGGAAGAAGGAAGAAGATAGAGAAGGGAAGGTGAAAATGCGAAGAGGAAGGGAAGATGGAGAAAGGAGTAGATGTAGATGAAAAGGGAGGAAGGAGCGACGCGGAAAGTTAAGAGTTCCGCTTAAGAAAGCGTCGCCTCCAATGATGCATCGCTGCCAGAACTTTGAGTGAGATATTACCCTCCCTCTACCCCCCCCCCTATTTTCACATCCCTCCCTTCCTCCTCCCCCCTATTTTCACCTCCCTCCCTTTCTCCTCCTCCTCCTATTTTCACACATCCCTCCCTTCCTCCCTCTACCACCCTCCCACCTCCTCCCTCCCTCTTCCTTCATCCCTCCCTCTACCTCTTTCGCTGTACTCTCTCGCTCTCCCTCTTCAATCTCTCTCCTCCTCTCCTCTCTCCTCTTCTCCCCCTCCTTCTCCCTCTCCCTCTCCTTCCTCTCCTCTCCCTCCTCTCCTTCTCCCTCTCCCCTCCCTCCTCCTACCTCTCTCCTCCTCCTACTCCCCCTCTCCTCTCTCTCAATCTCCCCTCTACTCCCCCCCCCCTCCTCTTCCCTTTCCCTCTCCTCTCTGCCGCTCCTCTTACCCGTCTCTCATTTGTAATTTGATACAAGTATTTGAGCGGCAGCCTTCCGAAGGGGGGGGGGGGAGGGGTGGGTGCGGAAGGAGTTAAGTAGACATAAATTGAGACGGGGATGGCATGGGCCGGGTGGGGTAGGGGAGGGACGGGGAAGGGATGGGGAGGGAGGGGAGGGGAGGGAGGGGAGGGAGGGGAGGGGAGGGGAGGGAAGGGAAGGGAAGGGATGGGATGGGAAGGGATGGGGATGGGCCGGGTAGGGAGGGAAGAGGAAGAGAGGAGGGGGAGGGAAGGGAAGAGGAAGGGGAGGAGGGGAAGGGAGAAGAGAAGAGAAGGGGAGAGGAAGACAAGGGAAGGGGAGGGAAGGAGAAGGGCCGGGTATGGGAGGAAGGGGAGGGGAGGGAAGAGGAAGAGGAAGAGAAGGGGAGGGGAGGGAAGGGAAGAGGAAGAGAGAGGAAGAGAAGGGGAAGAGGAAGAAGGAAGAGGAAGAGAAGGGAAGAGGAAGAGAAGGGGAAGGAAGGGAAGGGAAGAGGAGAGGAGAGAGGAAGAGGGGGAAGGGGAGGGAAGGGAAGAGGAAGAGGAAGAGGAAGAGGAAGAGGAAGAGAAGGGGAAGAGGAGGGAAGGAGACTCAAGAACTTCCGGCATCAGGTCGTCAGGGCGGTGTCATCTTTCATCCATTAGAGGTTTTCTTTGGTTTGTTTTTGTTGCGTCGAATATCTTTTTTTTTTTTTCGTCTTTGTTATCGGCTTCTTGGCTTTTGGTTGTTTATTCATCGTTTCTCTTTGTGAAGTATGTTTCGTTGTTGGTTTTGGCTGTTTATTTAGATTTTATTTATCCCCATTATCTGATATGTATGTTTTGCTATCAAGCTGTGTTTATTTTCTGCCTTTATTTTCTGATTGAGCGACTTGTAAATAAATTGATATATGAAAGTTATTTATTTACTGGAAGGCGGAAGGGAGCGCCATGTGCAGATGGCACGATCTAATTAGCTCGTGCTCTCCCTGTCCCTCCTTCTCTTTCTCTCCTTTCCTCTTTCTCTTTCTCTCATTCTCCTCTTTTCTCTTTCTCTTTCTCTCCCTCTCCCTTATTCTCTTTCTCTCTCTCTCCCTCCTTCTTTCTCTTTCTTCCCTTCCTCTTTTCTCTTTTTCTCTCCCTCTCCTCTTTTCCTCTTTCTCTCCCTCCTTCTTTTTTCCTCCCTGTCCCTTTCTTTCTCATTTTTTCTCTTCCTTATGTCCCTCTCTTCTCTTTCTCTCTCCTGTTCCCTCCTTCTCTTTCTCTCCCTCTCCTCCTTCCTCTTCTCTCCCTCCTCTCTTTCCTTCCCTTTCCTCCTTCTCCCTTTCTTCTCTCTCTCCCTCCTTCTTTCTCTTCTCTCATTCTCTTTCTCTTTCTCTCTCCCTCTTCTTTCTCTTTCTCTTTCTTTCTCTTCTCCTTCTCTTTCTTTCTCTCCCTCCTTCTCTTTCTCTTTCTCTCTTCTCTTCTCTTTCTCTCCCTCCCTTCTCTTTTCTCTATTCTTTCTCTCCTCCTTCTCTTTCTCTCCCTCTCCCTCCTTCTCTTTCTCTCTCTCTCCCTCCTTCTTTCTCTTCTCTCCCCTTCTTTCTCTTTCTCTTTCTTTCTCCTTCTCTTTCTTTCTCTCCCTCCTTCTCTTTCTCTCCCTCCCCTCCTTCTCTTTCTCTTTCTCTCCTCTCCTTCTTTCTCTTTCTCTCCTCTTCTCTTTCTCTTTTCTCTCTTCTCTCCTCTCTTCTCCTTTCTCTTTCTCTCCTCCTCTCTTTCTCTTCTCTCCTCCTCTCTTTTCTCTTCTCTCCCTCCCTCTCTCTTTCTCTCCCTCTCTCTTTCTCTTTCTCTCCCTCTCTCCTCTCCCCCTCCTCCTCCTCCTTTTTCCCTCTCTCTCCCCTTCTCCTCCTTTTCTCCCTCCTTCTCCCCTTCCTCCTCCTTTTCTCTCCCTCTCCTCCTCCTCCTCCTCCTCCTCTCCCTTCTCCCCATCCTCCTCCTTTCTCCCTCTCCCCTTCCTCCTCCTCCTCTTCCCTCCTTCTCCCTCCTCCTCCTCTTTTCTCCTCTTCTCTCTCCGTACCTTCGTAAGAAAGAATATAATCCATTTTTCCCCCATCCTGCCGAAGCCGCGCCCTAATGAGGAATCCCTCTTCCTTTCTCTCCCTTTCTGCAGATCTTCGACGACGTGTACTTGTTGAGGCACCGTCGAGTCGCCCGCCGTTCGGCCGACCCGTCCCTGCTCCACCATGAGAACCTCGTGTCGGAACCCCACGTGAGTTCGGGTTGTTTTTTGCGCTTTTTTTCGTGTTTTTCTTGTTGATTTTAGTGTTTTTTTTTGGGGGGTTTTGGGGGGGTTTAAGGGGGGTTTTGTAGGGGTATTTGGGGGTTTTAAGGTTTTGTTTAGGGGTTTTAAGGGGTATTTGGGATCAGTGGGCGAGAGGTTTTCAGGGTTTTGAGTGTCGTGTGGAAAGTCAAGTCACGTGGGTTGAGAATTTTGTGTTTTTGATTGCGTCTTGTATTGCACGTCGTTGCACGATTTCCACGCATCAAACTAATCTCTAATTGATGCAGCATAACACGCTGGATCTAGTTATTCACTGGCTAGAGGTTGAAGTTCAGGCCTTGATGCAATAAGAAGCAAAATGACGGAATTATGAGCAATTTAAATGGCAGGTTAGGTTAGGCGAGGCGAGCTTCGAATGGGCTCGCTCGACTCCGCTTGACTTGGCTTGACTTTTCACTTTATCAGCTTGACTTGGCTTGACTTTTCACTCATCTTAGGTTGACTTGGCTTGACTTTTCACTTTTCTCAGCTTGACTTGGCTTGACTTTCGCTTTTCTCAGCTTGACTTGGCTTGACTTTTCACTTTTATCAGCTTGACTTGGCTTGACTTTTCACTTTTCTCAGCTTGACTTGGCTTGACTTTTCATTTATCTTAGGTTGACTTGGCTTGACTTTTCACTTTTCTCAGCTTGACTTGGCTTGATTTTTCACTTTTCTCAGCTTGACGTAGCTTGACTTTTCACTTTTCTCAACTTGACTTGGCTTGACTTTCCACTCCTCCCAACTTGACTTCTTTTCTCAACTTGACTTGGCTGACTTTTCGCTTTCTCAACTTGACTTGGCTTGACTTTCGCTTTTCCAACTTGACTTGGCTTGACTTTCGCTTTTCTCAACTTGACTTGGCTTGACTTTTCGACTTGACTTCGCTTGACTTTCCACTCCTCCACACTCTTTTGACTTTGCTTGACTTCCCTCCTCCCAACTTGACTTTGCTTGACCTTCCACTCCTCCAACTTGACTTAGCTTGACTTTCCACTCCTCAACTGACTTCGCTTGACTTCGCTTGACTTTCCACTCCTCCCAACTTGACTTCGCTTGACTTCGCTTGACTTTCCACTCCTCCCAACAAGCTAAGCTAGTCCTCTCGGGAGTCCCCGGGAGTCCCCGGGAGTCCCCGGGAGTCCTCCACTCGGGCCTGGCCGTCGTTCGCAGGTCCGGTGGGCGGAGCAGCAGGTGGTGAAGCGGCGAGTGAAGCGGGACTTCCTGCACCAAGACCGCTCGGCCAAGTACATCTCCACGTGGATGGACGATCCCAAGTGGCCGCAGATGTGGTATCTGGTAAGTGGGCCGTCGGGGCGCTGGTACGGAGCAGGGTCTGGTGCTCCGTTTTTTATTATTTATTTATTTTTGTTTATTGTTTATTTATTTTATTTTTTTTAGTTGGTTTGAGAGGGGATTTGGCTGTTGGTTGCGGTTGCGTGCTTGTGATATGTATGTGTGTGTGTGTGTGTATGTATGCATGTATGAATATATATGTGTGTGTGTGGTGTGTGTTGTGTGTGTGTGTGTGTGTGTGTGTGTGTGTCTGTGTGTAGTGTGTGTGTGTGTGTGTGTGGTGTGTGTGTGTGTGTGTGTGTGTGTGTGTGTGTGTGTGTGTGTGTGGTGTGTGTGTGTGTGTGTGTGTATGTGTGTGTGTGTGTAATTGTGTATGTGTATATGTGTGTGTATATATGTTGTGTGTGTATATGTGTGTGTGTTTTAATGTGTGTATTTATGTATTTATGTATATATGTATGTATTAATCATTCATTCATTCGTGTTTCCTTCCCGTCAGAACCGCGGCGGCTCCCTGGACATGAACGTGCAGCCCGCGTGGTCGGAGGGCGTGAGCGGCAAGGGCGTGGTGGTGACCATCCTGGACGACGGCCTGGAGAAGGACCACCCCGACCTCATAAAAAACTACGTGAGTTCTCTCTGGGCGTCGGAGGGAGGGGTCGGGTCTTGAGGTTGATTAGGTTCGGGGTTTTTGGAGAGTCTGTTGATTTCGGTGGTGTCGTGGGGTGGGTTGGGGGGTTGGGGGGTTGGGGTAGGGGGTAGGGAAGCATGTCTTTTTTGTAGAGATTTGGACATGATTTTTTTTTATTCTTATTTTTTTGTTCTATTTATTTATTTGTGAGTGTCTGTGTGTGTGCTGTGTGTGTGTCTGTGTTGTGTGTGTGTCGTGATGGTCGTATTTTTTCTATCATTCAAATAATGCGGATCGGAATGACTACCATTCGTACATTAACCTTTTTTATCTCTTCTCTTCTCTTTTTTCTCTCGAACTCAGGACCCCAATGCCTCGTACGACGTGAACAGCCACGACCCTGACCCGATGCCGCGCTACGACCTGGTGGATTCCAACCGCCACGGGACGCGCTGTGCCGGAGAGGTCGCCGCCGACGCCAACAACTCCATCTGCGCCGTCGGAGTGGCCTACGAGGCGTCCGTGGGAGGTACGGTGGGGAGGGGGCGCTAGGGGGAGGGAGGCGGGGTGGGGTGGCGCGTTGGGGGGGGGTGTTGGGGGGAGGGATACCTGCTTGGTGGATTGGATGAGTCGCAGCAGGGCAACGAAGGGAAGGACAAGAAAACGTACGGATATGCTGAAGGCCTTTTCGCTTTACTGCTTCGTCAGGGTATTCGCATTTTCTTGTTCTTCCCTTCGTTGTCATTGGTAATTTTTCTTTAATCCCTGTTTATAGATTTAAAAAAATGAATGTATACTTGTCGACATCCTCTTTTGTTTTCTCCTGCACCACCTTCTCGTCGTCCTCCTCCAGGTGTCCGCATGTTGGACGGCGACGTGACGGACGCGGTGGAGGCCCGGTCGCTGGCCCTCAACCCGCAGCACATTGACATCTACTCCGCGTCTTGGGGCCCCGACGACGACGGCAAGACGGTGGACGGGCCCGGACAGCTGGCCACGCGAGCCTTCGTCGAGGGCATCCGAAACGTGAGGCCGGGTCGAGTCCTGGGGCTTAGGGGAGGGAGGGACAGAGTGGGAGTTTTGAGGAATATGGTTTTTTGTTTAATTTTGTAGAATTTGGGTTTTAGGGGAACTTGAGGAATATTTTTATTTATCTATTTTTCATATGCTGGGTTCGTCTTTGAGGAAATGGGCTTTTCACTCTTTTTTTTTCTTTGGTATGCTGGGGGTGTTTTCTTCCTCTGTATAAAGCTCACGTTAGGAAATATATCATATGACTCGTATTTCTTTGGCAGGGTCGAGGTGGTAAGGGCTCCATCTTCGTGTGGGCTTCGGGAAACGGAGGTCGAGATCAAGATAACTGCAACTGCGACGGCTACACGAACTCCATCTGGACCCTAAGCATCTCATCGGCTACAGGTATGACTCTTCTTCCCAAATTTCGGTTTGGAGATATTTCGGAATATAAGTATTTTGAATATATGTTTTTTGTTTCGTTCTTAATGTAGGTCGGTAGGATATTATAAAAACATTTTCGTACTCTCTCCCACATGCCCGAATGTTATTAATTTTGCGTCTTCTTTTCCCCCGCCCGCCCATCCGCCCGCCCACAGAGAAGGGTCGCGTCCCGTGGTACTCTGAGGCGTGCAGCTCCACTCTGGCGACGACCTACAGCTCCGGCTCGCTCGGGGAGAAGCAGATCGTGACCACCGACCTGCACCACTCCTGCACGTCGTCGCACACAGGGACGTCGGCCTCCGCGCCCCTCGCCGCCGCCATCTGCGCGCTGGCTCTGCAGGTCGGGACCGTCGGCGGCTCTTGAACTTGAACTATTTTGGGTGTTTCGGTTTATCTATGTGTATTTTTTTTTATCTGCGTGTCTGGTTATCAGTTCATTATGTATCCATTTGGGTGGGGGTTTATATTCTTAGATTACGGACTGGAATTTAGGGTTCTTGTCTTTTGGTGTTTTTGCCTGTTTATCTATGTACATTTTTTATCTGGTTATCAGTTCATTATGTATCCATTTGGGCGGGGGTTTATATTCTTAGATTACGGACAGGAATTTGGGTTCTTGGTTCTTGTCTTATTTTCTGAAGCGGGTGAAGGTCGTTTATTGTTGAAGATTATGATGAACAAAGCATTTTTTTCTGCAATCGCTATCATGACTTCATCTGGCCCATCTCCTCTCGGCGAAGTCTAACGATATTGAACGACGTCCGCTTCGTCCTCAGGTGAACCGAGACCTCACGTGGCGCGACATGCAGCACATCGTGGTCCGAACGGCGCGACCGGAGAACCTGGAGGCGCCCGACTGGCAGAGCAACGGGGTCGGCCGCCACGTCTCGCACAGGTCAGTTCTCGGACGTGTGTGTGTCTGTGTGCGTGCGTGTGCGAGTGTGCGTGTTCGTGTGCGAGTGTGCGTGTTCGTGTGCTCGTTCTCTCTCTCTCTCTCTCTCGCTCTCTCTCTCGCTCTCGCTCTCTCGCTCTCTCGCTCTCTCGCTCTCTCTCTCGCTCTCTCTCTCTCTCTCTCTCTCTCTCTCTCTCTCTCTCTCTCTCTCTCTCTCTCTCTCTCTCTCTCTCTCTCTCTCTCTCTCTCTCTCTCTCTTCTCTCTCTCTCTCTCTCTCCTCTCTCTCTCTCTCTCGCTCTCTCTCGCTCTCTCTCGCTCTCTCTCGCTCTCTCTCTCTCTCTCTTCTCTCTCTCTCTCTCTCTCTCTCTCTCTCTCTCTCTCTCTCTCTCTCTCTCTCTCTCTCTCTCTCTCTCTCTCTCTCTCTCTCTCCTCTCTCTCTCTCTCTCTCTCTCTCTCTCTCTCTCTCTCCTCTCTCTCTCCTCTCTCTCTCCTCTCCTCTTCCTCTCTCTCTCCTCTCTCTCTCCTCTCTCTCTCCTCCCTCTCTCCCTCCCTCCCTCCCCTCTCTCGTGTTGTATCTACTGCAAGCCCTTTATCATTATGTACGGTTATATGTGCAGAAAATGCAGAAAAAAGCGTACCTTTTCACTGGCTCTTTCTCCAAAACCGTCACTTCTCGGACTGTCCCTTTCCCAGAACCCCTTTCACTCATTCTCTAATCCCCGCAGGTTTGGTTACGGCCTCATGGACGCCTACGCCATGGTCCAGCTGGCCCGCAACTGGACCAGTGTCCCCACGCAGAGAAAGTGCGAGGTGGCCGCGTCCCACATCGACAAGTGAGCCTTTTCCCATTTTGTCTCTGATGGTTTAGTAGATTTGCGATTGCTATTTTCGGTGTCACTGTGATTTGTTGTTGCTAATATTGTCATTATCGTTATCGTTACTGCTATTTTCATTACTGTTTTTGTTGTTATTGGTCTTAATATTACTACTAACACCATCACAAATTACTGCTACTACACCACATTTTACTACCACCACAACCACATTACTACTACCACCACAATACTACTACTACCACCACAACCACATTACTACTACCCCCACAACCACTACTACTACCACCACAACCACAACTTCTACCACCACATCCTCTACTACTAATCATCATCAACCACTACTTCTACTCCCACAACCACAACTTCTACCCCCACATCCTCTACTACTACTCATCATTCTTAAAGCATCACTATCACAACTACAGCAATACCAACCAGATAATCCTTTTCCTCCAGACTGATCCCACAGAAGAGCTTCGTCACCCTGGAGCTCGACGTCACCGACTGCCCGGGCGTCAACTACTTGGAACACGTGCAGGCCAAGGTCAGTGAAGAGGGCGCGGTGCGGGAACGGGTCATGGAGGCTTTGTATTTGAGGGAAAGGATGTTTTAGAGGGTGTTTTAGAGGATGTTTTAAAGGATGTTTTAAAGGATGTTTTAAAGGATGTTTTAAAGGATGTTTTAAAGGGTGTTTTAAAGGGTGTTTTAGAGGGGTGTTTTAGAGGGTTTTTGTTTTAGAGGGTGTTTTAGAGGGTGTTTAGAGGTGTTTTAGGGTGTTTTAGAGGTGTTTAGAGGGTGTTTTAGAGGGTGTTTTAGAGGGTGTTTTAGAGGGTGTTTTAGAGGGTGTTTTAAAGAGGATGTTTTTAAAGGATGGATGTTTTAAAGGATGGATGTTTTAAGGATGGATGTTTTAAAGGATGGATGTTTTTAAAGGATGGATGTTTTAAAGGATGGATGTTTTAAAGGATGGAAAGGATGGGTTAAAGGATGTTTTAAAGGATGGGTGTTTTAAAGGATGGATTTTTAAAGGATGGATCATGGATGTTTTAAAGGATGGATGTTTTAAAGGATGGATGTTTTAAAGGATGGAAAGGATGGATTTTAAAGGATGGATGTTTTTAAAGGATGGAAAGGATGGATGTTTTAAAGGATGGATGTTTTAAAGGATGGTGTTTTTAAAGGAAAGGATGGATGTTTTAAAGATGCATAAAGGATGGATGTTTTAAAGGATGGATGTTTTAAAGGGTGTTTTAAAGATTCACCTTTAAGATTTTTGTTTTCGTTTCCTCTAATTATATCGCGGGGATGTTTGATAAGGAGTGGATATTTTTAGCTCTTATCTTTTTAGTGTTTTATGAGAAAATGCGATAGATTATAGTAATATTTATCTTCTCCATCATATTCATTTTCTCCCGTTTGTGTGTGCTTGATAATCATTTTTCATTTTCCCGTTTTTTATGTGATATTCCTTTTCCCGTCCCGTTTATTCCCCTTCGCTTCGCCCTATACATCTCTTTTCTTCCACTCCACCTTAGGTATCGCTGACAGCTGATCGTCGAGGTGACATCGAGATCTACCTGTCGTCGCCGTCGGGAGTGAAGTCCACCCTCCTCGCCCAACGCCCGCACGACAACTCCCGCACGGGCTTCCACGTGAGTCGATGGGGGTGGCTTTGGGGGGGTTCGAAGAAGGGGACTTGGGTTTTGATAGAAGGGGTGTTGGGGTTTGGTGAAGGGGGCTTGGGTTGGGACGGTCGATGAAGGGGACTTGGGTTGGGACGATCGACGAGATGAAGGGGACTTGGGTTTTGATAGAAGGGGTGTGGGGTTTGGTGAAGGGGGCTTGGGTTTGGACAATGGACGATGGGAACTTAAGGTTAAGACTATTAATGGTTTTAGAAAAGGGGTCTTTTGGTGGAAGAATTGTATTTTGATTTAACAAATTTGTGTTGGTTTGCAAATAAAAATTGATAAATATAGAAATCATTTGTGAAAATTATCGCAGTTAAAAGATATGTTTTCTCAGTAGACACACAAGTGTGGTATATAGTAATGATGAGAGGAAAAAACATGCTTTTCTTTCCCGAATTCCAACCGAACATCTTGTCAACCAGACATCTATTGTCAACTTGGATTTCTTAGTAAATTATTCTAGAAAGATATCAATAATCAACACCATTCTTGTATTTTCTCAGTAAATTATTCTAGAAAGACATCAATAATCAACACCATTCTTGTTTACTAGAAAGACAGTCCTATCAATAGTCTCAGTAAATTATTCTCATCACCATTCTTGTAAACTAGAAAGTTATCAATAATCAACATTCTTGTATTTCTCATAAATTATTCTAGAAAGATATCAATAATCAACACCATTCTGTATTTTCTCTCGGTAAATTATTCAGAAAGATATCAATAATCAATTGTATTTTCAGTAAATTATTCTAGAAAGACATCAATAATCATTCTATTTTCTTGTATTTTCCAGTAGTCAATAATCAACACCTCCATGCAAGACAATAGTATTTTCTCTCGTAAATTATTCTAGAACAATCAACACCATTCTTGTATTTTCTCTCAGTAAATTATTCTAGAAAGATATCAATAATCTTCAGTATTTTTCTAGCAGTCAACTAGAAAGACATCAATAATCAACACCATTCTTGTATTTTCTAAATTATTCTAGATGTCAGTAAAATTATTCTAGAAAGAAGTGGAAATATCAACGTATTTTCTCTCAGTATTTATTCTAGAAAGACATCAATAATCAACACCATATTTTCCCAGAAGACACCAGTGATTAACACTCTTTTGTATCGTCAGTCGTGGCCTTTCATGACCGTCCACATGTGGGGTGAACGGCCCCTGGGGAAGTGGAAGCTGGAGATCCACAACAACGGACACTTCTTCACCACAGGTAAGTGGAACGTGGAACATGGAAGTGGAAAATGGAAGTGGGTGTGTTGAAGGAGGTGTGAAAGAAGTGGGAGTGGGAGTGGAATTAGATGTGGGGAAAGTGGATGAGGTGGTAGGAATTTAAGTTGGTGCCGAAGACGTGGAGAAAGTAGAACAACTAGAAGTGGAAGCTGAAGTGGAAGTGGAAGAGCGAGAAGTGGAAATGGATCAGTGGGTATGTTTGGGATATGTATGTTAGAGGGGTGGAATGGAAAGTGAGAGAGCTGGCTAGATGGGTATGGGGCGAATCGGTGGTTTGGAACAGAATTCAGAGAAAGGGAAGGGCCAATCAGGCTAGGAGGACACACACACGCACACACGCACACACGCACACACGCACACACACACACACACACACACACACACACACACACACACACACACACACACACACACCACACACACACACACACACACACGCACACGCACACGCACACGCACACGCACACGCACACAATATCCACACACGCACCACGCACACACACACACACCACACACACGCACACGCACACCACACACACACACACACACTCACACACGCACACACATACACACACACACACTCACTCACTCACTCACTCACTCACTCACTCACTCACACACACACACACACACACACACACACACACACACACACACACACACACACACACACACACACACACACACACACAACACACACACACACACACATCCACACACACACACACGTAATATCCACACACACACATACATATGTAATATCCACACACACACATACATATGTAATATCCACACACATACATACATATGTAATATCCACACACACACCACACACACATACATACGTAATATCACACATATGCGCATATATCATCCACACAATATCCACATACACAATATCCACACACGTATACATAATATCCACACAAGCATACATAATATCCATACATATATCCACACACATACACACACACATGCATATAATATCCACACACATACATAATATCCACACAACATAATATCCACACAATATCCTCACACATACATGATATCCACACACACTCATACCTATACCCATCAATTCCTACTTATATTGGTTGTATATGAATTCTATGTTCTATAGATTGAGTAGCAGACTTGGTTTGCAGAGAACCAATAACTATTTAAGATCTTTGTCTCCATCAAACTTGTCCTCTCCAAGAGTGAATGTGAGAAGATTATAACCCTCCTTGTAGGTGGAGTCTGAAGATGTTGTTTGAAAAAATATAGATGTTTGAAGGGGAAGGAATGTAGGCTGGGAATGCCAATAAGCAAAGCAATAAAGCAAAAGAAAGTTTATTGACTGTACAGCTATGAGTTTCCAGAGGAGGATGTTAACAGTGCAAAATATGTAGGTTTCAGTATTTGCAAAAGGATGTGTGTGACCACCTTAGTGTGCGGAATTCGTATTGAAATAAGGTGTGGTTTGGTTTAAATATTTTGGGGGCGGGGGCTGTGTAAAAATGGGGAAGTGATCCACAGTTGACTCAAGTATTTTTGTATTTATTTTTTGGTAGTATAGGTGTGGAAGGCATTCTAGTCTTTATTCCTCTCTCCCCAGAAAGGTTGTTAGTTCCATGAACACTTGTATTTAAGGACTTTCAGAAGTCGGCTTTCATAGATCTCCAAGGGAGCTGAAGTGCAACAAAAAAGTATAAGTTAGATGGAGTTTTTATAGATAGTGAGTTTAGTTTTAAATTTAATGTGTTTTGTTGTCTTGAGGCAAATTGTAGAGTTTATTGATTTTCTCAGAGCTTATTTTTTTCCATTGTTTTTTTTCTTAAAATATGAATATTTATATATATATATATATATATATATATATATATATATATATATATATATATATATATATATATATATATATATATATATATATATATATATATAATGAATTTGCATTATGAATAACATTTGATAATTAATTTCATTTTTAAGTGTTCATATAAATTAACAAGATATTTTTAAAGGTATGATATTCACTTTTTTTGTAATTTTAACAAGGAAGCAAACATATATATATATTTTTTTTGCTAATGTTTTTGAGTTGTTTAAACAAAGAACAATAATTTCGGAGGCTTTGAAATGGATATTTGTGCCGGAAAAATGTTTTTTCTCTTTGATATTCCCGAATGATTTTGATGAGAATGGACTGGCGCCTTTGGTGGTGTTATTTTTTATTTTGTTTTCCTGGGGCGTAATTATTATTATTATTATTATTATTATTATTATTATTATTATTATTATTATTTTTATTACTATTATTTATTTGTCTGTTTTGTATTTTTTTGTTATTTTATATCGTATTATTATTGTTTCTATTTTGATTGATATTGGTAGATATTTATTAATATTGCAATTAATATCGTCATTATGATTATCCTTATTCCTGTTAGTATTACCATTATTTCTATCCTTATCGCTATTAGTATAATCTTTATCGTTATCCTTGTTGCTTTTCTTGTCATTGTCATTATTTTTGTCTTTATTTCCGACAACATATGTAATGAAAAGGAATCCTGACATAGAGAATTCTACAAGATTGATCTGAAATTGATATAAGAGGGATTATCAATGTTCTTGGCCCCTATAGTTAGTTTTTTTTCATGTCCTGTATTATACCTGAGCAGAGAGAGGAAATGTGATTATTAAGGCTGATATTTTGATTAATTTCCTTTGTCATAGTTCAGAAAAAAAAGGTATATTTTTGTAATGGGAAAAATATACATTTATGCATTGGGAAAGAAGGTTTTGGGGAGATGGTGGGGTTCTGGTTAGATTTGTTACGATGGTTTTATTGGTTTATTTATTTTGAAAGAGAAAATAATTTTTAGTGATGCACAATTAAAAGATGGTTATAAATCACACTGCCAGATTTAGATTTCTATGAGAGTTAAGAGGGGAAAAAGATGCATGGTGGTTTGTAAGGATTTTTCCTTTTGTGTGGCCATTGTTTTCCAATTTATATGCTAAGGATAAACTAAAATGAAGTCTATAATACAATGCCTGAATCTAACTGCATGTTTTTTTCTCTCTCTTTCTCTCTCTCTGTCTCTTGAGAGTTTGATTGAGATTTCTGGTGATGGAAATTTGCAACATTTATCATTTTTGGTTGTCTTTTTTTAAGATTTTTGCACCAAAGTGTAGATATTTTTTTTTATCAGGGTCCAGTATGTATTATACTTAGATTTTTTATATTTTCTAGTGGTTACTCTCCCTGCTTTTCATAATATGAATCATAGGTTCCACCAGGGTAATGGCTACCTCAACTTTTCCCATCAAAATACACTGTGTTGGATAATTCTCTTGTGTGAGACCGATAGCGTTAGTGGACTTGAACCAGTGCTTTGGTGGTGGGGGTAGTAGTACTGTATTTACTGTGGGTTTCACGGGCTGAGATTTCTACTCTTGTGCGCACCCGGGGAGAGGCAGACCTCCTTGATAGTGTAGCTAAAGTGCACTGCCCCCTTCCTGCCTGCTGCTGCCTCTGCTGACCCTTCTGTTCCTGCTGCTGCCTTCTAGGAGCCACCCTACTGGAGCGCTGGACACTCATCTTTTATGGCACCAGAATAAACCCAGACAAGTGGCAGGCACGCTGGGGGCGCAGAGACCGTGGTGGGGGGGTCGGGGGAGGAAGGGAGACCGCCCCGGCCATCTCCCGTCCTCCTCCTCCTTACCCGTCGACCACTCCTCCTACCACGACCACCACATCTACCACACCTGGTACCACATCCAGACCATGGCACTCCTACCAGTCTAAAAAACCCACATACTCTTTACCCCCACAACCTCCACACTACGAGTCACATCCTGCCCCCATTCGCCCGCCCAACCACCGCGACAGCTCCCATCACAAGGGTAAATAGAAGGGGATTCCCCGATCTTCCCTCGGTAGCAGCACCCTCGTAATCAGCATGCGAATGGTAGCTCTAAATGGCAGTTGTTGCATGCTTTATGTGGAGACCCCGTGTTGATGTCACAGCCAGAGAATTTCTTTTGTTACTGTTGCTGCTGTTCCAGGAGCATGGTTTCGTGTAAATGTTGAACTAAAGACGATTGAAAGGAAAGTCCGTTTTAAAGGCTCGTTCGATGTGTTGTTATTAATTTGTTTGTTCATTTTCATTATGTAATAGAAAGTTGATAGTTATTTCTAAAAATCTTAAAACTGGGAACATAAAGCGTTTGTTTAGTGAAGGGCTACTGCATGGCGAAGTATTACAATTGCGTCTAGAATGGTGGTGCATCTAAATTTTCCTGGAGAGAAGCATGAGACAATTCCAGACATTTTAGATGCTTTCATAGTATAATTGTGGCAATGTATGATAATACTTTTTGTTAGTAAAATAAAAAAAATCAGTTAATAGACTCTGTGGTCACTGATACCCGACAAGGGACATCAAGCACTGTTTTCTCTCGCCATCTTTCATTCTTCCGCCATCGTAGCCATCCTTTGTAGGCTTTCTAAAGATCTTAACGCCACTGTCGAAATCAAGAACTATTGCTTCGGAAATAAACCAGTTGCATGTTTCGTCATTAGTGTAAGGTCTGCTTTGAGTTTCTTTGAGTGTCTTAGGATAAATTCCCCTCGGATTTGATGCCAAAGAAGCGTGCAGTAGTAAAGAATAAGTTCCTTAAAAGTAAGAATGACCATGTCTGATTCTGAAGATAAGTACTTGAACAGCAACTAGTTGAAAATAAAAGCTGTAGTAAGAATTGCCGTACTGAGGATGACTGCTGTAACCACTGTGCTTTAGGACAAGAATGGCATTGTGAAGATCCATCAGGATACACCTCAAAGGGCGTTGCATGAGCGCCAGAGTTCCCTTATAGAGGAGGCATGACGTCCTTTTTGTTAATTTCCATCGTTATGGTCTGCTTTTGTATATGGGGGATTGTGAACAAGAAGAATAATTACAGTATATGAATGTGGCTGATGTCTTTGTACCTTTGTTATGATTATTATTCCAATATCTAAGGAAACGTGCTGTATAGTCTTTCATTTTGCCATTTTCTTTTTTTTTTTCTTCTCTATTTTATTCAGTGTGCTCTTAGTACCTGTGCATTATGGTCAATGCTTGTGCATGTATTTTTTTATGATTTTCCATTTTCATTTTTTAGGGATATAAATATTTATGATTTGGATAAATTTTATTCTTTAACTTAATAATATTCTATGAGTTGCATTACTATTTTATTATGTTTTTTTTCAGTGATTCAGATAACTGGTTAGGGTGAGAAGCGGATCATTGATATACATAGAAGAGATACAGGAGGGAGGGAGCACAGGAAGTAGGGAGATGAAGAAGCATGCAATAATCATTTTCCTGTTTCCCTTGAAGTGCAGTAAGAAAGTGCCATTCGACTAATGGATCTTGTTTTTGACAGACAAAGCTGAGGTGAAGGAATGGAGCCTGATTCTCTACGGCACGGAAACGGAGCCCGGGCAGCCGGTGTCCCCGCAGCAGGGCAGCCAGTCCCCCGACGACTCCCACACCAGTGACCCTGCTGTGCACCAGTCCATCGACACCACTGAAGGAAAAACAGAGACTCGGGACCCTGACAGCATGGGCGTGGGCCACTCGTCTGCTGCAGCAGCCTCACCGACTCCGACGCCCCAGACGCTACAGCTGACGGCCATCAAGAAGGCGCTGCCACCTGGATGCAGCCGCGTGGACGCCGCTGGGGCCTGCATAGGTTTGTGCCTTGTGGTGGTGGTGGTGCACTTGGTGGTGGGTGGTATCCTTGTGGGTCAGCCTAACCCGCAGAAAGTGCTGTGCGCGGGGGGGTGGCCCGAGCTCCCTCATGGCAGGAGGCCGCTGGGAGAGGCCTCAGTCAGCGCAGGAACACTTGTTAGTGAATCTAAGTGTGACGCCCTGCAAGAGGGGGGGGCTGCGGATAGTGCATCGCCGGCCTTATTACAGCAGCCAACTTTGTTAGTTAGGTGCAGTTAGTGTCAAGGATATTAGCTTTTTAGTCTTTTTATTTGTACAACATAATGAATGGATTTACACTTGAGGATGATGAGTCCCTTGTTTTAGGGTAAAGCGGAAGAAAGCCCTTCAGGTGCAGGTCAGTAGAGTGACGGCCATATCCACAGCCTAATGCTTGTGAAGCCAAGGGTTGAGATGGTGTTGGAGGTCAGTCTACTGATAGCAATATTGACCAGATAATTCCAGGGTTTATTAATTATAATTTTCAGCAAAGTTCTCAGACTGAAACTAAAGAAAAAACTAAAAACCAAAAAAAAAAAAAATACTAAATCAAAAAACCCTCCAGCTCTTTTGATGTATAGATGTTGAAAGCTAAAAAAAAAAAAGGCTTTTAAAAAAGTGGAAGCTCAGACTTCTCATCTGCCCTTGAGAATTGTTTCATAGAGTGCCTTTGGCATTTTATACTCATTTTTACTCTACAAACTTTAGATATATATATATATCTTGAAGCTGCCTCTGTAGTCTTGGGCTAGATAGCCTTGTGAGTGTTGAGCTTTAGTGTTGGAGCCAGAGTTTTAGCCACCAATTATTTGAGGGGGAGATTTTTAGCCTCCGCTCAATATTTTGGGTAGATTTCTTTTTCTTTTTTTCTTATTTTACATGTTTTATTTATCTATTTTTTGTTCAGTTTTCCAGTTGTCATATGAGAATCCCAGTTGATTTTTAAGCATGTTTATGTGAATAAGGGTTGCAGAAAGGTGGAAGAATCGGGAAATAAAATGGAAGTCCGATCAAAGACTTGTGGTAGACTAGCAAGCCGAAAAATCCTTTGTTAGGGTTTGTGGCGCATCTTCCACGAAAGAAAATATATATAAAAAAGTTTCATAGACATCTTGCTTATATAATGTTCAGAGAAGGGGCTAAAATCGGAGTGAAAATTATTACTAGTTATCCTTAGCGAGTTGTAAGAACCAACAACTCAGATAGCGGGTGTTGGCCAGGGACCTCAGAAAAAGAAAATTGTAACATTTTTTGTGGCTTGACAACTCTGGTAGATTCTCCACGAGCCTATGGCTACATTTTAGGTGCCTCCTGTCATTATATACATGTTATTGTTAGTAATATTATCATATTTGCCACTTTTATTTATTAGTATTATTGATATTATTGTCAGTTACTCAATATTTTGTCCTTATATCACGAGGGCTTTGATTTCAGTTATGACTCCGTTATCACTATTTTCCTCATTATCACTATTTTCCTCGTATCATGGATATTCGTAGCTGTAAGATGAGATGATTTTATTACTCCTTCAAGAATGTGGAAGTATTTTATACCAGTGCCATTAAGAGTGTGTGAAACTATTGCACATTTCCTTTACGAGAGACCATTAGTATTATTTTTGCGTGTGTACAGCAATAGTTTGATGGATACTATAAGACTTTCACAGATCTTGTATTATGCTCATTACATATATTTTGTACTCATGATGGCTCCAGCTGCATGTTGGCTGTTACAAGTCCGAGGACTTTTCGTGCAGTGACAGATTTAAAGTTGACAATATAGATATACCAGTTCTTGGTGTCAGTAAAATTGAGTCCAGGTTCAATAAGGAAGGAAGTTAGACTGTCGTTCAGTTTCTGTGTAGGTTAAGGAATTATTTTTGCCGAGCGTCTTTTTTATTGCTTCTTGTAAGGTTAAGTTCAACGGATGAAAAGAGAGCCTCTTATGCTTTTCAATATTTATTTATTTATTTTATTTATTTTTTGATTTTTTTCATTTCTTTTTAGGAAGGCTTGAATATGTAGCATGTTGGTAATTAGAATTATACCTTTCTTTGTCTACAGTATTTTTTGGTGAATTTTCTATATTTAATTTTATTATCGGTAATTATGCCATTAATCTATTTTATTTTTCCTTTGCTTTTTATTTATTTATGTATTTGCATGGGTGGACCTGAGTACGAGTTTTCTTACCTCACTTGTAACCAAAGATGACTTTTTTTCGTATTATGGTTAAACTGGTTGGCTTTGCTACCTAGTACTTGTATGAGTAACGTTCCCTGTATTATGGTATGAGGGGACAGTTTCATTGCCCAGATGTAAAAAGTGTTCTACTGTCACCAACAGATGTACTTTTATCATTTTTTAAAGAATCATGGGTGACCTTGATATAAGACTATAACTTTCCGATGCGTGTGTTGTAGCTCGATGACTGTGAGTTGTAAATAGTGAATGTTGATTGATTGCAATCTCTTTTGCTAAAAAAAATGGAATGAAAAAACACTTTGCAGTGAGCTCTGTATAACTCGCTGTGCATCACCACCTCTCACAACTATGTAAATAAGTATGAATGTGGTGTCCTATTTGTGACTTGCATCTTTTTCCTTCATCTTTTTTCTTTTTTTTTTTTTTTTATTGAGAAATGGTGCTCATCAGGTGATGCCAAGTTTGAAAATCCTTCTTTGGGGAGGGGGGATGGAAGGAGGAAAAAGAAAGGAAAAGGAAATACGAATAAATGTCATATTCATTGTGTAAGACTCAGAGGGAATAGAAAAGAAAAGAAGAAACAAATAATTGTTTTAATGCAGACACTTTTGTGTTTTGTTACTTTTTCTTAAGAAGTTCTAGAGAACACAAGTAATAATGGAAGGATTTTGTGTCATCTTTTGGTGCAATATTGATTCTGATTTTAATGTAAATTGTCAATCATTATTTAAAAGATTAATAGCTATTTATGTAGTAGTAGGAAGGTTCACACTTTTCTTTTGTTGGTAATAGACATTTAATTTTATATTTGTGAAATAGCAAAATGCACTTTTTATTTATTGCAATATGATAGAAGTATAATACAAGATGTATCTATATGATGTTTTGTCTCAGTCTGTTTTTAAATGCATTTATTGTTTTAAAAGATATGGATTGTTTAGGAAAAAAAAGCTGTACTAAACTTTTGAAAAAGTAATAAATAAAAATTTAGAACATTCCAGATACTAAGTACTAAGCATAGTCATCTTCATGAGTGGGGTTTTATTTAATTCTCAGAATCAGAATATAGAATAAATTGAAACTGATTGCGTGGAGTAGAAGTTCATAATTTTATCCATTAATCTATTGATAATTTTGAGCAGATTTAAAGATGTAAATTTTTCTTTTGTACAGTTAATAGTAGGATTAACAAATGCATTTTAGGTATTTATTTCAATCTCCTGTAAATAGTCAGGGAGTAAATGAAGATGTCATTTGGCAATATCAGTCTTGAATAATTGCATGCATATATCCTAATGCATTGTGATATGAGAGGGAACGAAATAGCGTGTTTTTATACGAGTTCTAACACAAGAGGTAGAGTTAATAATGCGGGTTTCACGATAGCCATTTCTGATCTTTACTTGCCAGAGTACTGAGGATGTGAAGAAAGATATCATGTGCACATGTGCAGGCAGGTGCTGGATATGTTGTATGTATTGTATGTTGAAGTGTTCATGTAATCTTAATGTGGTACTTAAGAATGGAACAGAATGAAGGTTTTTGATCTTGTTGCCGCTGTCAGCTGGTGACGTATCTTGAATCACATATGGTTAATGATTGTTATGTTTTTGACAGTGAGTAGGATGTAAGTTTGCATGATTCTACAGGAATAGGTATATATAGATAATGAAATGAGATATTCTGCACTTGTTTAATCCCAGAGCGCATCAGCTGTGTTAATGAGTGTGTTTAGTTTTTAATGATGAATGCAAGTTTACCTCACAAAGGATTTGTATTGTATTATTATTGGTTCATTATGGAAGAGCTTTTTTGTTTTTATTCCTATACTTCACTCTAACAACCTCTCAGATTTTACCATACTTTAAGGTGCAGTGATTGCTTGTTAAAGGACTACAATGAAGCTTGTTTCAAAAGTCGCTGAAGGAAGTTCCAGAATACATAATACTTTCATTTTAGTTTAAACTTTCCACTTGTACAGTATATGATTTCAAACATGATTTCAAACTTCTGCATGATCATGTGCACATATAAACATGCACACGTTTAATCACATGCACTTCCTCATGTTTACTTTCCCACTTACAAACATGTCACAAACTTGGGCTCGTACACAAATGCAGACATGCACTTATACATGCAAACGCATATGTACACACACTCAATTTTCTGGACACACAAATACGCACAAAAACACACACACACACACACACACACACTTACATACACACACATTTACATACACACACACACAACACACACTTACACACACACACACTTACACACACACACACTTACACACACACACACACACTTACACACACTTACACAACACACACACACTTACACACACACACACTTACACACACACACTTACACACACACACACACACACACACACACACACACACTTACACACACACACTTACACACACACACACTTACACACACACACACACAACACACACACACACACACACACACACACACACACACAGCACACACACACACACACACACACACACACACACACACTTACACACACACACACACACACACTCACTTACACACACACACACACACACACACACACACACACACACACACACACACACACACACACACACACACACACACACCACACACACACACACACACACACACACACACACACACACACACACACACACACACACACACTTACACACACACACACACACTTACACACACACACACACACACACACACACACACTTACACACACACACATACACATACACATACATACACACACCCTACTTGCCTACCTGCCTACTTACTTTAACCTACCTGCCTTACCTTACCAACCAGTGCATATACTGTATAAACTTACTGTAGCATAGTTCCTCACGCAATAATGTATTGTAACAGAATGAGTTCCATATTGCGTTCTCCCTTACAAAAGTGCTCCCAAACAGGGTATAAAAAGCCAGAGACAGCAATTTTGCTAGAATCCAAAGAGTCTAATACAGTGGGGTCGGCATTTTCTCTCCTTTCCACGTTATGGGTTTTCTTAACCTCGGTTCACATCACTGTATAGTGACTTTGTCAGAAGCTTCTTTGATTTGTTACATTTTTTTTGTATCTTTCATAATGTGTAAGAGTTCAAAGAATGTTGCCAAATGTTTTACACATCTCCGTTTCTCTCTTTTTACTGCAAAATGATTTGTTGATCTTTTCTGATTTCTTTTGTTGATTCTTATTTATGAGGCATTATCTTTTATTTCTTTTCTTACTGTTTTAATAGTCTTTGTTATTTGATAGAGTTGATATTATTAGCAAGATGATACACATTTGTTGCCATGGACTATATATTTTGTCTTTGCTTTTGAAGTTTTTGATAATGGTTTAGTAATCATGATGTATGAATAAGCTAGGGTTATTCCTATTTGGGTATATACCACTTTTTCTGAGAATTGAGGTATCATTTTATTGTTCACTGTTTGTTGCAATCCGTCATATGTTAGGAGTCATTCTTCTTGTTGCATTTCTTTTAGCTGCATTATATTTAATTGTAAGAACTGTGTCATGTTCCTTTTTCTAGAGACAGTTTTGAAATAGTTTTGTCACGTCAAACCTGCAGGGGTCGGTTAGTTTTACTCAGTACTGTAAAGCAGTGGTTCTCAAGACATTGGTTGTGACCCTCATTTCCTGTGGTCTGTCGAAAAAATAAAGTAAATCAAAATAAATATAATTAAAAGAATTTGGAATTTGTTGCATCAGCAGAGGTATCAGTTGCTTTTTAAGAGTATAGTAAAATTCAATACAATTTTTTTTTCTTTTTTGGGATGAAACTGAATGAAGAAACACAGAAATTGTTTCCACTCTGAGGGCCACCAGACAAAAAAAAATCTGTGATTAGGGTCGTGTCCAGAAGTTTGGGAAAAGCTGAAGTACAATGTTCCGTCAGATTCCCTTCTTTATGTGTATGCTTTGGTCGTTATGGAATATTTTTATCTATGCTGTCACTAATTGTACTGTGATTCTGTGTTAAAACCTAAAAGTCCAGAATGTGAAGAAAGAAAAGACAGATTTTCTCTACTTTGAGTTCCTTTTATTTGTGAAATTTCTTTTTAGTTTCTTCTGTTTGATGTATGTTTGGTTGTTAGTAGAAGGAAGACATTTGTTAAGAATTCCAGTGAGCAGAATTCCTTCACATTCATTCTTGAGTGTAGGGTCCAAAGAGGCAGGAAATATATATTTTGGATTATTTGATTTTCTTGTGTACTCATTACTTTTCCTCTTTTGCATGTGTGAGAAATATTTCTTGTGTGTCGAGAGAGAAAGATGATAACGTGGAGAGCAAGTCTGCGTGCATTTTCATCTGGAATCGAACATGATCGGCACATTGGCCGAGGGATTGTAATGTCTTACTTTTAGGATGGTGCAAGTATTTTCTTCTTAGTATTAAAATTGGTGAGTTTTCATCTTTGCAAGTTTTCAATTTGTCTTGTAAACTTGACTGAAATTGAAAGAGAAAATGAAAAGAAGTGAATTGAAGTATTCTTTAGTAAGCTTAGTGACAGTGTGTGGCTTCAGCTTGAATGACTCTGTATAATGCTGAAGTTCATTTATATTAAGTACCTGTCAGCCTGCCTGCCTGTTCACTTGTTTTCTTTGTTATGTAATACTGAGCTCAATTGTGAATGCTTGATAGAAACTGGTTGAAGGATTTCTTTTATGAGGTGTGTGTATTTACAATTAAGGAACTTTCTGTGTTGGTGTTTTAAAGCTGCAAATCTTTTTATATATTACAAGTTTTTTGAGGGAAATGGTTGTGGAGAAGTTTAGTGTTCTCTGTCACATATCGTATGTTTGTCTTTGTAAAGAGGTCACAAGTGACTTAAATAAAAAGATTTTTTTATCCATGTCTTTTTTAACTTTGGTAGTTTATACTAATTAATCTCTGTCAACTGATTATTAGATACCATGAACTTGTTTCTTATCTTAGTATTCAGGTCCTTTAATGAAACTAACTTTATCATGAGTGTGATTTTCAAGGAATATCTTTATCATTGAAATAATATAAAAAATAATCCATATGTATGCAATTAACCCCCTGGATCTGGTTGCAATTGTTATGTAAGTGGCCAGCACCCCGGGCATGCGGCGTGTAGGCCGGATGTGCATGAACACCCATGAGCGGTGACAAGACTCTGTGCCTCCCCTTTGAGAAGTTATTTTGTGAAAACTTTTTTAGCTTTATCGCCATTTTCCAATGTCCACATTTGTCTCTTGATTTGCTTTATCCAGATGGTAATTATTTTCCTTGCACAGACTCCATATCATCTCTCTATGTAGTAAATAGCTTTGTGCAAGAGAAAAAAATGTATGGAATATGTGGTTATTTGTCATATATCTTTTGTAATTTTAAATTTTATGTAACAACTGCCAGGAATATGGTGCTCAGCATGGAAATGGCGTCCTCCCTAGAGCCGGTGCTCTTCCAGTCACTGCTTACGCCCGTTACATTCCACATTCATTTATCATTGGGAATAATGCTAAAGCCCCCTTCTAAACGCCAAATGAGTCAAATCACATTCCGAGAGGTTTGTGCACTCGTGGCGAGTCTTTTCTGTCACCCTGGCGTTCGCTCTTTACTCTTTGTTCACGTCATCCATGTAGCTGACCAAGTTTTTCCTTGATGTGATCGCAACAGCATCCAGATCCAGGGGTTTAAAATCTATGGTAATCAGGTCAAACTGCAATATTTCAATGCTTAGTCTACAATCAAATGTATTTACATTGCACTGACCTAACTAAGAGCTGAATATATATTTTGTGGCAATTTTTTCATAATGGTGATGTCTGCCACTTTGTAAATTATGAGAAAAAAATTAAATTATTACTGAAGTGGTCTTAGACTCTTAAGGAGTCATTCAAAATCCGAGTTACATATCTGAGAAGTCAAAATCTCTCTTTACTGTTATACTTAATTTTTTTATACAGTAATCTTGAGAATAGACTTGTGTTTGAGCCTTAATTGGTTAAAGTTTGTAATTAGTTTGTTAAAAGCTGATGGGCATTAATGAAAGTGAAGCTTATGAGCAAAACTTTAATAACATCTCAAGGTTTGTGTGCCACTCGTACATACTTTTGAAATAGGTTAATGATTCCTAATAGAAACATAAAGCATAGTTTGATTATTCCTGATAGAAGCATAAAGCATGCTGTCTTTCTCCAATGTTACAGTGCATCTTGCAGTAGGATGAGGAAAATGTTAAAAGATAGTGTCTTCTCTTAGAGATTGCTAACACCCAAGACAGTTCTGTATGTAAATATATATATATTTTTTAATGCCAGTCAAAGATATCTCTTTGGGATGAGAGGTTTTCCTAGTTTTCTTTTTTATACAATATTGAATATGGTAAAACATTAGTTAGGGAGAAACAAGGTAACTTTATAAATGCTTTTTATATTATGTTAACATTTCAAGGTGGAGGGAACATGTATGTTGATTTACACATTTTGTACTCTGGTTTGATTTTCCCCTCTTTTTGTAGTGCATGCTGCAGTTTCAGTCAAGTGCCAGTCCCCCTTTTTTCAAGTCATGTCATTTTTAATGCCTTCAGTGTTGGACAATTATAATCTCTCAAAACAAGAGCTTAACGACAATTGGTTATTGTTTTCTCATTATTGAAATTCTTGATGAGATGTTCTTACAAAATACTAGATTCTTTAGCAAATATTATCATAAAACAAAAAATTAAAAGATTAAGAACGCTCACTCCCTTTCTGTATACTTCATCAAAAGCTCTAAATTTAAGATGAAACACTTGACTGAAAGAACTAGCATGGTTTGAGATAACACATGCTCCACAAGCAAGATTTGATTTGCCCGTCACTTTCTTTCAGTTTTGGTTTTATTGCTGGTGTTATTTAGCTCATAAATAGAAAAGTGTGTTTTTGATTACAGAAGGTTTATGTTGTTCAGATTGTTCATATTTAGACAGATTTGGGTTTTTGTTGAATGTTACAATGATGTTCTGCAGTTTGTTTAATTTTGAAAGTCACTAGATTATTGCTAATTAAATAAAACTTTTAAGTAAAACAGTCACTACTATATTGTGATGTCAATCCTTCGAAGGAGCTTGTATTTAGAGACACACTTTTTTTTTTTCCTATTATTATTTTTTATATTTTTGCCAGGCATGAATTTGCATGAAACCGCATTCATTTGATATGAACATTGTTTTCTTATAATTGAGAAATATATGATTAAAGTAGGTATACAGCAGGTTTGCCATCCCTTAACAGCTAGACAAAAACAGTACAGACTCTAACTTATAATCAAGAGGAAAGGAGAAAAATGGGCTAAGGATTAATGCCAACTGATAGAGAATTCTAAACAGGGCTGTCTTTGCATAGGTATGCATGGGGTACAGTGCTGAAACTAAAATACTTGTATATACATACTATCATTGGTTCAAAGCAGCAGCATATTATCCAGGGATGGTTAACTCTGTATGAGATTTCTGCATGTTTCAGAATGTTCGCAACCTTTTCTAATTGATACAGACGTGGGTACTAAGAAGAAGAGGGAGATTCTCCTCCGTAAGTTACTTGTAGCAGAGCAGAGCTAAGTTTTTCTTTTGCATATTGTCTTCAGATGGACATCATGTTTCCACAGTTCTTAGCCTCTGTAATCCTTAAGAAAAATAAGAAAAAAAATGTACATGTATGTGTATATTTCAGATTCTTTTTTCTGTTTTTTTTTTTTTTCAATAAAATATCTGACTTGAAAAGCAGGCTTCGAATTGTGGATGAGGATGAACTGTTGTTCTGCTTGGCTGACTCATGATATATTCTGTACTTTTTTGCTTGCTTCTTGGGGGCTTTTGTATATATTTGTTGCTGCCATATTGTATGGCTTAGTCCAGCTTGTTTATGATTTTATAAGTTGAACCTCTTTTACTTTTTTCCATGCATGCAATTTTTATTTATGCTATTAAAGTTACTGTATTTCTCTCTCTGTTTGTAAGCCATAGTACTTAACATAAGTTTGAATACATGTTACTATATCCCTTTGGTTACCAGGTGATTAAAATAGTAATTGGACAATTGGAAAGACTTTGTGACAGCTGATGGTGTCCTTGTACCTGGGTGAAGAGAAAATCTGTAGTCAGGGAGGAACATCATTGTTTAAGCTTGTTTCAGGTTATGTTAAGATTTAGTCAAGTGGAATCAACTTGTTCATGATGTTTTATCTTATCCATTTTTGTTTTACTAATGAAATCCAGCATTTTGCAAATCAGGATTTATGTGATGTTTATTCTCAGCAGATGAGTGTATGCGTTATAATCTCTAATCATCCTCTGTCTTGTCTTTTACTGAAGTTGTTTCCTTTATGTATATCTTTCCTCTTGTCTTCATAGAATTTACTTCCACATGCATCTTACACAGCCCAGAAAGTCTCCTAACATAATCTATGTACTAAAGCTTTGTCTCTCACTTCACCTTTAATATATATTCACTCCCACTCTGAAAACAACCATACTTCATCTCTTTCCTACGGCATCCAATGTTGCCTTTTTTTTTCTTCTTTTTAATTTAACAGCCTGCAAAATTCTTTTCTAATTTACTCTTACATTATGTCTTTTTATTCTCTCTTCCCACTCCCTTCTCCTCTATTTTCTTCCTTTCTCCTCCCATTGTTGCTCAAAACTCATATTGCTGCTTTTTGAGCTGCCACCACTCAAACACCACAAGTCTCTTGGCTACCTTTGCGGCCGTCGGTTGTCATTGCGGCAAGTGGCGGCTGCAGGAGGGTATAAAGGCTGGGGTATTGGAGGTGGAATGAAGTTGGGTGAGCAAGACTGCAGCTGTGTGGTGGTGTTGGCTGTCGGTGTGCGTGTTGGTGTGGGGCCTCGCTGGCAACACTCGCCTGCTCACTGTACAGGTGAGTTGTTGCAGATTAACCTTTTTTAAAATTGCCAGACTAAAATAAAGAGATAAGTTAAACAAATCCTCACTAAGTAAAATCTAACCATCCCTTTTGAACAACAAAACTAATAAAGGCTTAAGAGTAGTTGTTTAATCAGCCATGCATCTAAACAGACTAATTGTATATTAAGGAAAAGGATGAAAAGACACTTTATATATTGCATAGAGACCTTCTTGTTGAAGTTTTTTCATTTATCCTTTCATTTGACGACATTGTAATGATCCTGCTTCTTCCATAGGCCAATCTTTATTTTCTGGTAAATGATTATTGAGCGAAAATCCAGTGATTTTAGCACCACATCATCACACAGCTGCCTCTCCTTCCTCTTTATTGGACAAGAGCACATCCTGATACTCTCTCTTGATGTACTTCATTTTCACTCTGTCCCAGATTCTTATTCCAGACGGGTTATCTTACACTTGGAATCTTTCTGCCAACTAACCACCATCTGTAAGTTGTTGCGACCATGCCATGTGCAAACAGATTTGTGATAGCGTGTTCGTAGTGTCTGGGTCCAGGTGACAGACTGCTCATTGTGCACTTCATCTCTGCATGTGATAAAACCTTTTAGAATAGTCTTATTATATTCTGCATCTACTACATTTTTTTTTTTTTTTGTATGTTTATGCATACATAACATTTTGTATCATTTCATCAGCTTTTTTTATATGTGTGGATGAGGATTTTGTTAGTAGTATTTAAATGATGTAGGGTTGATGCTGGCTTGCAGACGACAGTGTTTCATAAATATATATGGAGTGTTATCAAAGTGCATGATATTTTGTATTTTTAGAACAAAGTTTTCTCAATCATAGTGATTATTGATATTTTACTCTTTTATTATAAACTGATATTAAATTGTGATATGATTTTTTCTTGTCAAAAATAAATGGATGTCTCTGCATGACAATTTAAACTTGTCCAATGCAATATAAAGCTTATTAACATGAAAATGTGAATGATAAAGTAGCCCTCATGACACATGAATATCTAGCAGCATTTAAAACCTTTAGAACTCCCCAGACACTGATAGTTGAACCTACGTTTACAGAATGTGAGAAGAACCAGCTTCTGCATGGAGGTGTGTGTGTAGTCGTTTGCCCAGAGAACTACTATGGCTGGTTCCCGGAAAGGCTTGGTGCCACAGGGCCCCCTACATGCAGGCCCTGTCACTACTCTTGCCGCACTTGTTCAGGGCCACAGGATTATGAATGCTCAGGTTGCTGGGGAGATGCTGTGCTCTACAGTGCTTATGAGGTATGCTGTAACCTGTAAATTGTCATATAGTGTATAACCTTGCATGTAAATGTGCTTGATATTTTATATAATCATTTTGTTCTGACTTTTGAGGTTGACAGATTTCAGTTCTTGTAGACAAGTAAAGGATGCCTATTGTGTTAATTAATGTGTGAAAATAGCAAATTAAAAAGACTTGGTTTGTTATATCAGTTGTAGTTCTTTCTGTATGGTATATACACCTTACAGAATTAATAAACATTTACACAAGAGTATGCAAGACATTAATCCCTCATCTGCTTTTTGTACATAAGACAACAATAGTCTGCACAGTTGACATTTGAGTAAACAGTTGGGTATTTAATTATATTTTTTCTTCTCTTCAGGGTCAGAACTATTGTCACCCAAGCACTCTCCATGATGCCTATGAAAGCCTCCAGTCCTGGTACAAGTTCCTACTGGGTATCCTCCTGTGCCTGCTCATATTGGTGCTGATTCTTGCTGTGCTGGTTCTGCGAGCCAGGAATGCATCAAGGAGGTCGTACCCTGTTGTTGGAGTGCCTTCCCTCAGTCCAGGGGCTAGTGCCAAATCTGCGAGTAACGGTGGCACTGCATACACACCCGTGCCAAAGGGAGATGCAGATGACCTGTTGACAAAAATAACTTTCCATGATCTTACGAGTGAGGATGAGCTATAGTTATGATTCGTTTTTTGCAAATTTTAATTGATGAGATGGTTAGGAAAAAGTAAAAAAAAAAAAAAAAAAAGAAAAAAAAACACGCATTGTAATTTGAAAGTTTTCATTTTGTTCTCTCGTTCTTTTTCTTAGTACTTATAACATAGTAATTTAGAAATTTAAAAGACATAAAGGTTCACCTAATAGTGAATTTATAAGAACTATAAGGCATTGTTGTAAAGCAATATGAAGATCAATAGTTTGTCTTAAAATATCTTTTACTGTAAAATTTCATATGATAAACTATGATCTGTTTATGTGGGTTTTGTTGGTAAAATTGTTTTATGGTTTGGCAATGTTTTTGTCCAGAAAATTCTGTTATTGGTTACGTTTGAATAGTAATTTTAACTGTGGGTCAGTAATAATGAACTTAATATGCATACTTAATATTTTACGAAAGATTAATTTGTTTAAATGTAAAGCAATTTGTTTTTATAATGAGATAATGTATTAAAGATGATATCATATATAGTGCTGATTAGCATTGGAACAGTTAGAATATTAATGTTTTACGTGAGTTCAATTTTAAGCAATGCCTAAATGTGTATGAGTACACTTAATTCATGGTAAAAGAACAAGTTCTAAATTGCTATTGAGTACAAAGCAATGCCGAAAAGTACTCTGGGCATTATTGTCTTTTACTCAAAGCTCACCATACATACTGTGATAGGATGAACATTTCCCACAAAATGTCTCCTTACACTTTGTGGTTTTATTGCATCTCTGTGGTAGTAAACAGTGCACAAATTACTGTATCCTATAGTAACTTGTGTGCTATCTGAAGGGAGTAGATGTATTGCTAATGGTATTCAACTTGGCTAATCAGACACCATTCATGAGGAGAATGTTGTGTGTACTCATCGTTTACTTTTGAAGGGATGCAAGAAGTCACTAAGAATGTAAGGAAGGCTTTTGTGTAAAGTGTACAGATGGTGAGTGTTCCAGCAGGTTCTTGTCTGGTCATCAAGGGTTTTTTCATCTTTATTTTACTCTTTTTTTTATCTATTATTTTTTATTCTTTGATGATCACCAACTACTGTAGATTCTCATTAAGACCAAGGGGAAAGAAAATTATATGCTGGGTATGCTTAGCAGACTAGTTAAATATGGAATGGTGTAGTATTCAATTGTTCACTCAAGCCTCATTCATGGCAATTGTAAAGTAAAAACATGGAACAATAGGTGTTTGTGCTTTGTGGGTTTCCTTCACAAGCACTTGATACTTACAAATATAAGAAAGTACTCAAAATGAAGGATTATTGAATGCAAGTGTAAAATAGAACTAGGAAAAACTACTCTATAGAATTCACCTTTATAATTTGCAATACTAGATTGTGAGCCATTGCCAGATTGAGATTGAGAGAGATTGGAAGTTCCAGATAGAAATAATAGTTGTCATCATTTTTAGGGATTGAAAATATTTTTATAATTCAGTGCCTTTTTAAATGTACTATTCATGAGTACCTGTAGAGCTGAATAAGATGAATATGTATGCTATGTTGGTTCTCCAGATTTTATTATATTTTTCCAATAGGATGTAGGAGTTCTACGTTATTTGCTGTGAACTCATTCGTATATAAAGCATTTAAATAAAGCAGGTTTAGAATGTAATCTTTTATCATGATGCTTATTTTACCAGATTTTATTTTATTTAATTTTTCTCATGTAAATTAACAGAACAGCAAATGATATTAGAATCCTGTCATAAAGATTTATAATAGTATCATAGCCACAAACTATCCTCAAGTGCCTTTGATAATTTCACCAGTTTTCATCTGTGATGCTGATATTTTCTTTATTCATAGTTTTCCAAAACCTCCAGATGCTGAATTATCATACTTTCAAGATTCACGTCAATTCTCATGTAGTGAGTGTAGGGTACGAGGATTTTTTTTATATATAGAACAAATACCATTGACCAGTGTAATTGTATTTTTTCTTCCGGATACTAAAAAAAAAAAAAAAAAAAATGAATGTCCTGGAATGTTATTCCAAAAATTAGAAATTTGTGGTCAGTACTCTTTATTTTTATTGTTTTTTCTCCTTGAGTTACTTTGTAAATTATACTTAAAATTTTTAATTTCTGCTGTAATTAGTCATTGATGCAGGTGGTGAAGGATGTGTATTTTCATCAATAAAAAGTTTTATATTGTATATAAGGGCCTTTGAGTGTTAACCTTTTTTCTTGCAAATCAGGAATATTTGTCTGTGTTGAAGTAATCTCAGTGAGGGAACTTCATACATTATCATTAAAATTAATGTCCTGAATGATAAACAAAAGGCAAATGGACACCACAGTGGCAAAAAAATATATTTATCTGACTGAGAATGAAGTAAAGCCAGTATAGCCTGAGGTCTGCTCTTCTTCTGTCTCCAAACTATCTTCAACTGCTCAGTCTCATATTTTGCTACATCAATGCCAAACTAAGCATGCATAGGCTGGTTTCAAAACCTCTGAAGTGATATGATATAGGGTTGCCACTGGAAAGCAGGAAAGACTGAGGAGGCACCACTGGAAGAGACAAAAAGGTACCACTGGAACAGCGGAAATGGTACCAATGGACAGAGAGAGTACCATTGGAAGGGTTGAAGTGGCCCCATTAATGACTTATATTTTTATGTCTGCATAATATTAATCAAGTTTCTAAGAGTATCATAGTTTTTATTTGCAGAGAAAATGCAAGATTTTGGCGAAGAACACTTATTCTGCTCCCTTTGCAACCCAGAAAGTGCCTCTCGGTATGGTTAAGGATTTGATCATCCCAAAATTGCACTCTGCAAGTGAAATCTAGGCATTGAGAAAGGATCTACTGAGTCCTTTATTATTAATCAGTGATGGAGGAAACCACATATGAAATATGGAAGAGATACCTTATACAGAAAATTGGTGGTAAAACAGGAAGAGTGGAAGAAATGCTTAGAAACTTCACACACTGCTTATACAAATCTTATGAAAAATTAATATCAATCAATAAATCTATACAACAGAAAAAAAAATCTGGACTGATCAAGGTCTTTTCTACGATGACTTTAGGCTTATTACAGTTAGAAATTTATCTAGATACAACCCTCCCAGTCCCTTAAAGCTCATTGTCGCGGGGGCTTGGGAAACAGACACTGAGGCCCATTGTAGAGGATAACAGCTACCTTGGACCTCGTCCCTCGTCACAGCTACTTTTGCATGGTCTTTTCTTCTCCCCATTTCCTTTCTCTCCTCTTCTTCATCCCCTTCTGTCCACATCCTAGAGTATGAGAGTTGTGCTGAAAGGACGAACGGCTGGCTTTGTGTCAGTCCTGAAGGTACTCTGCTTTTCCTTCTTTTTGTAGGAAAGGTATGAATGAGACTGGATATCTTCATTCATACCTTTTCTACATTTGTCAACATGGATACAGTTTTTTCCTCTTTACCATACTAATAATCTACAGCACTCCACAACCTTTGACATCTAACATATTTTGACTTAATCGTTAACTCATTTTGCCCTTTTCACCGCAATATTTTATCATAGTGCTATATGACCTTTCCATACCTGTGGGCCTCGTCCCCAAGGCCCCCCCCCCATATCGCTATATTTTGAATATGCTGCTAATGACTTGGCTGAAAATTAACAGTTAGATACAGATACAGCTGATTTTAGCAAACACTTTCAAACCTGGGAAGATTTTAAAATTGAATTCAGAAACAATTGTAAAGGTGAGCTTTACCTCAGGCTTGCTTACTGCCTGGCCTCATCCAGCTATTGAGAGCAGATTCATCTGATGACTATAACTAATGAATGTGAACTGTGCAGGCCACATTTGCATAAAGAAGCGTCTGTCCTATGAAGTGCAGAGTAGTCATTAGGTAGACTGTTAATGTGTATGCTATGGTGCAAAATGTCCACGACTGCCATTTATATAGATCATGTAGGTCAGGCTCACATGATAACAACACCTCTGCTTGTGGTGATGGGACATTGACCTACAACAGCTATGTCGTCAAGCAGCTGTCGCGACCGGCCAGGGAAAGTGTCGCGAATGATATTAGCGACAGTTTCTAGTGTCGTTAGACAGTTTATTGCCGGCGGTAATAAGGCCTATGGATGCATATATATATATATATATATATATATATATATATATATATATATATATATATATATATATATATATATATATATAATATATATATATATATATATATATATATATATATATATATATATATCGTATGCATGTGTGTGCGTGTGCGTGTGCATGTGCGTGTGCATGTGCATGTGCATGTGCTTGTATATATGTATATGTATACACGTACACGTACACGCGCACACGCTCACGAATATGACTGTTTATGTATATATCTATGTCTATACATTTTTACAAATATGTGTTTGTATCATATATATGTATACATATTCAATCTTTTATGACTGGACAAGTTGCACACACACACATATATATAGTACTCACTTAGATAAAGGCTTAGGTTTGTTTTCCATAATTTGATTACATTTTAGTTTTAAGATTCCTGTCGCGTCCAGACTGTTCAAGCGAAAATACAAACCAATTTAACAGGTGAACATTTTCCCGAGATGTTATCAGATGCTTGGCCTGTGCTCCAAAGTCAAGAAATGTGCATATGATTCCGAAACGGCTCCATTTGTATCAAGAAAAAATAGACAACAAATACTTCAGATACTGAAATTCATTTGCATTTGAATTTGCAAATCACTGCATACTCGACAACGAAATTGATAAATGTGATTATAGATATATGTTGAAGACATTGCTTTATGGACCAACAGTTTAGAATTCCATTCAGTTTTATATTGATTAAAAGGAAATTTCATGTACGATAACATGTGCAGAGAGAGAGAGAGCATCATTTGTCTTTTTTTTTTTTTCTTTTTCTTTTTCTTTTTCTGGAATGAGGGAGGGAGGAAATCACTTTGGCTCCTGGAGATCAGATTTTAAGCTTAGAGGAAAATAGATAATATTCCATGTTCCTGTAATTGCAAGGGTGTTGAATTAATGAGCAAAATCGGGAGAACTATTTTTTTCTTGTTAATTAAGATGGTCAATGAGGCATGGCGGACATAATTGCCTTTTTTTTCGCTGTTCTTCACCCAACGCATTCTATCTCGCTATCTCTCTCTGGCTCTCGTCTTTTTCCCTCCTTCGTCATTTCTTTGTTCTTATCTCCTTTCTCTTGCCTTCCTCCTCCTCCTCCTCTTTTTCCTCTCTCTCTCTCTCTCTCTCTCTCTCTCTCTCTCTCTCTCTCTCTCTTTCTCTCTCTCTCTCTCTCTCTCTCTCTCTCTCTCTCTCTCTCTCTCTCTCTCTCTCTCTCTCTCTCTATCTCTCTCTCTCTCTACTTCTCTCTTCTCTCTCTCTCCTCCACCCTTTCCTCTCTTCGCCTCCGTTCTCCCCCTCTACCTCTTTCTTCTCCCTCCTTCCCTCTTTCTAACTCTCTCTTCCTCCTTCTCCCTCCCACCCTTTCCTTCCCCTTTCCCTCCCTGTTTTGCACCGTTTTGCTTATCGCTCTGTCGCCATCCCCTCTCTTCTGCGCGCCTATTAATGACGTCATGGCACTTTTTGATTTATTGAAGTTGTTCAGACGTTTTCGGTGGATGACTCGTTATAAAACTGATGGAAGACGCACGGTTTGGGCACCGGAGGGGAACGGAGGGAGGAGAAAGAGAGAACTGGGAAGAAAGAGAAGGAAAGGGGAGGGAAAAGGAAACCGTGAAGGAGGTAGGGAAGAGTCGATGAAGAAAGAATGATGAAGGGTCGGAATAAGGTTATAGGAAGAGAAGACTTGATAAAAATGGAGATATTCGAGTGCAGAAATTAGCCATCAATCACGCAGTAATTGTTTTATGTGTCATAGAACTAATTAGAAGCATTATCGTCGTACAATTGAACCTCGGGGTAATGTTCCTGAACACTGCGACTTAATTGTAAAAATGTTCAGTCAAATCCTAGTTTGTTTACGTCTGTGATGAGTTGGCAAGATGCATTTCCTCCGACAACAGATAAATTCACATGATATTTTTAACTCTTAGTTACAGAGTACAGGAACATGCTGCGGAAAATTAATATTCTATCTTCATTTCACTTATATATTTTTTTGCAATTTAAAACAAAAACCACAGCGTTGTTAAACCAGATCGACACTGGACGAAATTTAACTTTAAAGAAACGATAAACTGCAAAACTTTTAAGATAAATTTACGTCGGACACTTTGCTAAAAAAAAAAAAGAAAGGAAGAAAATACTCTTTTTTCTTGAAATAATAAAAAGCAGAAGCGATTATCTGGCTGCATGATCATTTTCCACGATTATAATGATTTGCTTTTGCAGATCGAGTGAGCTTAATGCTTAAAAAAAATCTTTTTCTATCTATCTTTTGTAAACAATAAGATGGAAACGTTTAAGATGAAAGACTGAGAAAGAAATGCTTTCATGATTTTCTTCATTTTCTTAGTCTAATAAGAAGGGAGAGAGAGAGAGAGAGAGAGAGAGAGAGAGAGAGAGAGAGAGAGAGAGAGAGAGAGAGAGAGAGAGAGAGAGAGAGAGAGAGAGAGAGAGAGAGAGAGAGAGAAGAGAGGAGAGAGAGAAGAGAGAAAGAGAAAGAGAAAGAGAAGAGAAAGAGAGAGAGAGAGAAACAAACAAACAGAACATGCAAAAAAACAAAAGAACAACAAAAACAATAATTCACCATCACTTTTGCACCTTCCCCCCTTTCCTCCTGTTCTAAATTCTCCGACACTGACCTTTCACATCAGCAACTTCTCAGCTGATCTCAGTGGTCGACCTGCTGACCTTGCTCGATCAGTGAACCCGATCGCCATACAAGAAACTTCACAGAACTCATTTTCACAAGAAACTTCACAGACTCATTTTCAGTCATTTTCACAAGAAACTTCAGAGAAACATTTTCACAAGAAACTTCACAGACTCATTTTCACAGAAACTTCACACAAGAAACTTCACTTTTTCACACTTCACAGAGAAACTTTCACAGAGTCATTTCACAAGAAACTTCACAGACATCACAGAAACTTCAGAGAAACATTCACAAGAAACTTTCACAGAAACACAAGAAACTTTTTCACAAGAAACTTCACAGATCATTTCACAAGAAAGGGATTTTCACAAGAAACTTCACAGAAGGAGA